GCGCGCGAGCGGCAGCGGAGGTGAGCTAGGGTGGCCGGGGCACATTTTTAGGGGCAGCATTCTGGCGCCGGCCATGCCGCCCCTAAAAATGTGCCGCCCCAAGCACCAGCTTGTTTTGCTGGTGCCTAGAGCCGGCCCTGACCACAGTGTATTAAATTTATGTATCACTATGGGCCAGGGATTATATGCAGTTTCAGGAGGGAGGCTTACCACAACTCCTCCAGGAACCAAAAACAGTGGGGGCTGATTAAGGCAAATCACTCAGGTTGTAAACACTTCAAGAGAGATACAACCCCCCTGGGAGGATTGCATATACTGGTTCAAATTAGGTTTTTCAGATACCAAAGGCTGTGTTTACACTGACTCAGGGCCTTCTTTCTGATCCAAACAGACAATACCTTATACCCAAAAGGGGCCTCAACCTTTGTGGAAGTGTTGGAAAGACTTTGGCTTATGAGGTGATGGGTGACTCTTGCTTTGTTTAGTCTGTATTTAAATCTGTTTATTGTTTTTTTTTATATATTTCCTCTGTAATGCTTTTACCATAACAATAAATGTGCTTACTTAGAAAGAGCTCTATGGTATCTTGTAACTGCTGGCAATACACTGTTCATAGCCTCAGAAAGAGGAGAAAAGAAAAGCACAGGTGCTGGCTTTTAAGCAGAGTGGTTTGCTGGGGATATCAGTATAAGGCAGGGAGCTGTTCAGACTTAAAACCCTGGTCAAGAGGGAGAGAGACGGGGTCTCTATCCGAGAGGTGACGGTTGGGAGATGGAAACCTTAAGTTGGTGCCCTTGAGGAAACCACGGAGGAGGAATACAGGAGCCGTTACCCTGAGACATAATTAAACTAAACTCTTGCTAAATCATTGTGCTTCCTAGCCACACTTAAAATCTTGGGGAAAGAACCCACTAGTTACAATCATAATGCCATATGGAACTGCAAATGGCCGATTCCCATGCAATGGCGATGGGAGCCGGAATGACTGTGACATAACTCACCTGGCATTCCTTTCAAAAACTGGTGAAAAAACTTCAAAGAAATTTTCCTTTGCTTCACTTTTAGAAGGTACAGAGTTATCAAAAGTAGGATCTATGCTGTTAAATGCTCGTCTCTTCACAGGATCAGACAAAATTTCATAAGCTGGAGAAAAAAGTTAAAGGCCATAAAACACCAGGTTGGAAATGAATGTACATACAGGAGCTTCTTGGAGGAAATGTTATAGACAAATTTCTAAACACTTAAAAAAAAAAAAAAACCCACCATATTTTAAAACTCTGTGTTTATAACATTTTTGTTGTTGTGACTGGAAGAAATTTGCTGTCAACTCCTGAAAATGGTCAGTAACAAAAGCACTGAAGAGGAGGAAAAAGCTTATAAAAAGCAGCCAACAAATTTAACCCTTAAAGTACAGCTATAAATGGCAAACCAAATTATATGTTAAACTAATTGTGTAATGGTAAATTCAGTCCAGTGCAGCGGGAGTTCGGGTGAAACTCCTTTAGGCCTCAATTCTGCAATCACATCCATGTAGACAGGTCCTTGTACCTGTGTGGTGTCCCATGGACTTCCCTAGGAATTGCCTGTGCGAGTCTGATTACAGGATCAGGGGCAATAACAAGAGCTATCGACCGGAGTACTTATGTCTTCTGCTGCGAGTGTCACTGGAACTTCAAAATGGAGCATTAAGCAGCATTCTAACATGGCCATTAATACCTACGGGGTCATTCACTTTGCAGGTTATGTAGACAGGGGCTTGGCGCATCCCTCCATTCCACCCCACAGCCTCCCTACCTGCCACCCTCTCTCACCCCCCTCAGACTTCCTGCAACTGCCCCACCCCTTCCTTATGCCTGGGACCATGTGTCCCCCTCTTGTCCCCTTCCCCCCATACCACTAACCTTCATTCCCCACCCCCATGTCTGGGTCTCTGTGTACCCCCCATTTCCCACATCCCTGCATTGTATTCCCTCCTGTCAGAGTCTGTGTGCCTCCCCTTCCTCTGTCCACTCATCTCCCTTCCCCATCTCCCAGCTTCCACACCTATCAGCCCAGCTCCCGTGCTCCATGTCCCTGCTTCCCTCATCACCATCTACCCCCACTCCTATTCCCTTTGGCTCCCTGCTTTGTCACCCCATCACCACTACTCACCTCCAGGTCCCTGCTTCCTCCTTCATTCCGCCCTTCCGCACAGGTCCCCGCTTCTCCCACAGCCACTGCCCCCTCCCTGTGGCCCCTGCTCCCCCCCCCACCCTTAGGTTCTGCTTCCGCTCTACAAACCCTCCCTCTTAGGCTTTGTTATTTCTACTAGACTGTAAGATATGGCCAATCTCCCCACACAGCAGCACCAGGCAGTCTGGGACTCTAGTTTCCCCCTGAATCTGGCTTTTCTGGTATTCCAATTTGCACCAAAATCAGTAGGGTCATAGAGCTGGGTGGGAAACAATGTTCCTATCCCACAAAAAATTTTGAGATGTCAGAAATTTTTCCCCATCTCAAACTGGGATGAGACGTCAAAACTTCAATACATTTTCACAATCCAAAAACAAACAAACAAACAAACAAAAAAACCCCGACGTGAGGTCAATCAAAGCATTTTGTTAGGTAATTTTGAAAGTTTCATTTTAATTTTGACATTTAACAAAAGTTTGTACTGTAATTAACTTAAATTTCAAAATGAAAGTTATTTTGAACCAGAAAAACAAGTTTTTTTTGTTTTCAAAATGGGATGTTCATGACATTTCAAAACTTTTTTCAAAATTTTCAAGTACAGAAATTTGTCAGGACTGATTCTTTCCCGCGAAAAGTTTTAATTCCAGTGAACTGGCATTTTTTGATTTAAAACATTTTGTTGAAAAATTCCTGACCAGCTCTACAAGGTTATGCCCATTAATGCCTAGAACATTCCCTGGAAGTTTGGAATTGATCAGATGCCGTATTCCAAAGTTATCTATCCTGTTATAGATAGATAAATGCTATTGAGTTGAGCACAAGACCTTGCTTGGCTTGGCCAACTATGGGTAATAGATAACAGTATCTGCTGACTTGAGCTAGGGTATCGGCTTCTTTAGCTCAACTGGCAGAGCAGCTGCATGAGAAGTCAGGTCCTAGTACCGCTAGTGACTTCTCCCCTTTAAATTAGTCTATTACCTGGCATAGTAGTATGCCAGTTTATTTTAGGAGATACGTGGCTACTTTTATTGGTTCATGTTAGTATATATTGCTATAAACAATCTACTTTAACTGCCCTCTCCTATCACTTGGCATGAAATGGGAAACCGATGCTCTGCAGGTCGGCTGTGAAATAAGAGGAGCTATTCTAGAATTGTTTCCAACAGAAGGAAAGCTATTTTAATTTGATTCTACTTCTTGAAACAACTTGATAAAATGGTAAACTACATTTTTTCTGGTTTTACAGCTATCAGTCAAACTGTGCAAAGAGTAAGAACTACAATTGAAGCACTGTAAAAATACTTAACACCAGATTAAACTAGCACTGTTATATTTTCCTCCAAATCTCTTACCTTTAGTTATACAGGTAAAATAGTCATTGTCACCTTCACCTATCTGCTCCCCTGCAGCTTTTCGCTTGTCTGGATGATGTTTCAAAACCATGGCTTTATCTAGCAACAAACAAGTTGAGTTTAGACATGTTACACCACCTATGTTTCACTTTGTAATTTGGAAAATAAACAAAACAGCACCATAATCATGATCTGCATTTCTTTATTCAGATTTTTTTTTAGTATCAGGAAGGAAACCGAAATAAGTAGACCCTCCTGAATATAATAATATCACTGAAAATTAGAATCCAGTGTTAGTTAAAAAATGTTTCCATCCTATGCCAGGACACAAAATAATCATAACTACAGACTATCTTTACCTCTCTTTCCAATCAATTGGAACCAGCACCAATTTCTCTGGGACTTCTAACATTCCAACCCCCTGGCATCTTCCAAATGACTGCAGCCCTAAACCTGCAATGAGCTCTGCTGGGACACAGGGGTCTGCATGGAGTAACTTGCAGGACTGCGGTCTTACTGACTACAGAGGAAAAACTATAAAACAAACTTTGTACAAAGTGCTGTCAAATGCAAAAATTCAACAAACTGCTAAAATAAATACAAAAATTCTTTAATTTACAATATTAGGTGTTACTTGTAACTAGAGTAGGTAAAAATAATGTAGACAGAATGTGACTTTTAAATCAACGGTGTCCCTTTATAGGAGTTTCATGGCAGATTCAGTTTTTAAGGAAAATAACTAAGGCCGCGATCCTGAAAAGACTTAGGTATATGCTTAATTTTATTCACAGTGCATGAAGTTGAGCATGTGTGCCAGTCTTTTTAGGATCAAGGCCTAAACCGAGAGCGCGCTAAATTCTAAGTTGTATCTTTCACATACGAAATCTTTACTGAAGTTGAAAACCACAGGACTCTAGTGGAGACTTCCAGGAGGAAACCATATTTAGTTATTTTAACCCCTCTGCTACAAGCTCTAGCTGCAGCCTCCCTTCAGTGGTAGAACTCTGCAGCATTCAAAGTTGTACTGGAACCAGCCCAGGAAATGCATTTTACCCCATTTATCAGATATATGAAGCAGTACTGGAGTGATTACGTAAATCTATTGCTTGTGAAAGGAACCAGATTAAAGCCTCTAATTCGCAGAACAGGAACAGTGGATGACTCAAGAGTGAAAGCTCTCTCATTTTCACTCCAATATGCCCTAACTCTGTATTGATAGGACCACCTCTGAGGAGAGGGTATTGCAGGTTCCTTGGACAATTTAGTCTTTTGCCTTTCTGTCAAAACAGTTAACAAATATGGTAATTAGCATTAATTGGGATGGTGGTTCATGTGAAGTGAACATGACCACTGGGAACATAACAAACATTTACACTCAGGAGTAAACTGTCTTAATCCACACGAGACAATGGGTTAACCCTTTGGAGACAATGAGTTTATTCACATGCATAATCCATCAATTTATTTCACAAAGGTCATTAACTAGTTATCATAACAGTTTTAAATACTGTTCAGCTAAATATTTTACTATTTCTCCTACTAAGTTCTCTCTTTACTGTATTACTTTAAAGCACTAATTACAATTTTAGAATATGACAGATACTGCTTTTTAAATTTCTAAATGTATAAATGCTATAAAACATCCCAAACATGGAATTGTACAGATTAATCACACTTCATGATTTATGATAAACTTGTGTCATGTCACTAAGCAGTGTAACTGCATGAGCTTCCTTGTCTTATTGCTTAATTAACTGTAATATTAAGAAGATTGTAACATCAGTTTAGCATATGAGAACTTAAAGGTTGTTAACTACATTGCTCTATCCCTGAGACCCAGACCTCAGGAACCAAACACTTTTTCAGCTGACAACACAGTAAACATCCCTTTTATGTTCAAATCAGGGAAAAGCAAACTTCTCAATAATCTAAATTATCACAAAATCAAATAATATGTAACAAAACCTTTGATTACATGCTAATTCAGTAGTTACAGCCTTATTCCTATGTGACATTAATTTAAATGACTGGAATAATAAGAGCAGTAAGTAGATTTTTCTGATAACATTCAGTAAATTAAACAGTTAACCAATGTTACAATGTAGGTACTCATAAATAGGCTTCAAAGGTAACAACACCCCCTCCCCTCCCCATATTCAGCTGAAGGGGACCAGATCTTGTTTCTTTAAGTGCTATTCTCTCAGCTAGGGTGATTGCAAACTCAAGAAGACATATAGTGGGTTGGATTATATTGTCAAGGTTGTCTCTGAAAAGCAAGGCTAGATCAGAAAGCTGAGAGTCTGAAGATTTCTGTCTGAAGTGTTTGGAATTCACTAAACTTTCAGACCTGCAGGTTTTAGATGTCTGAGATGAATGAAAAAGTTGATAAGTGAAACAAATTCAGCTTTATAGTGAAATGAATATACTCTTGGTCCATAAAGTTTACATATTTGTATTTACAATATGGAATTGTATACACAAGATAAAAAATACTATGTTCTAATACCACTAATAAGAAATGCAATTACTTACGGGCTGCTTTGATTTGTTTCTGAGCGGCCCTGTATCTTATGTGTCCCAGTCCAAGAACTGCATAGTGATCTTGATTCTGATAAAGAAATATAAACATTAATAACCATAGCTACCTGTAATCTAGTAGAATTCTCTTATGGACTTTAAAACAAGACCACATATGCAGACCAATATAATTATTTGAAAGGTTTCTTTACATAGCTTCTTTTGTGAGGAGCAAAGAGAGGCAGCAATCTCCTCTCTGTGTATAAAGATTAGAAAAAGGCAATTTGAACAATTCTCCCACAGACTATAGCAACGTCGAACTACAAATTGAGTAGTTACAAAATAAGCCATTGTTATAAAAATGCATCCAGTTTAACACAAATTCATATAGCTATAGGATTTTACAAAACATAGATGACTGCGTACCTCAATTTGTCAAGAAATGTTATGTTGAAAAGGTGCCTGGATTCCCCAGAAGAAGAAAAACAACATTTTCTTACTGAGCGTCACTTGATTTTAGTGGGTTTAGGACTGGCTCTCAGGCCAATCAGTTCACTAATTGCACTCCCAGTTAAGCAGGAAATGGAGCTTCAAGGCTAAGATCTCCTTCTGATGTACATTTATTAGGGTATGTCTACATTAGAAATGCTACAGCAGCACAGTTGCGCCATGGTAATGTAGACACTACAGCGACAGAAGAGGTTCTTCTGTCGCTATAGTATATCCACCTTTCTGAGAAGTGGTTGCTAGGTTGATGGAAGTCTTCCTTTGACCTAGGAGTGTCTACACTGGGGCTTAGGTCAGTTTATTTACATTGCACAGGGGTGAAAGTTTCTACAGCCTTGAGCCATATAGTTAAGCCAACCTAATTTTGTAGTGTGGACCAGCCCTCAGTCTACTTAACAATAGGAAAGTTACTGACACTTTGTAAAACTGTCCTCACTTAGGTTATGTTTACACTTAAACTGTTGCATTTGCATTGCTGTAGTACTTCAATGTAGTCACTATCTACACCAACAGGAGGGGTTCTCCCGTCAGCGCAGGTAATCCACCTCCCTGAGAGGCCATAGGTAGGGCAACGGAAGAATTCTTCTGTCAACCCAGCACTGTCTAAACCAGTGGTTAGGTCAACATAGCTACATCGCTTAGTGGTTTGGATTGTTCACACCCCTGGGAGATATAGCTATGCTGATGTAAGTTCCCAGTGTAGACCAGTCCTTAGTCACCTGACTACCTGTGGAATACAAAAAGGAAGCTATAGGGCTAAAGAACTTGGAAAATCCAGATGAGAAAAGGAAAAGGAACAAGTATTTAGATAAATTTATTGTGATGCTTCTAGCAAAAGAATTAACTCAATGTTCACGTTAGTTGTATACCTTCCAGTCCTTTGGATCAAGTGTTTTTAACATAGGAAATTCCTCAAGCTGCAATTCTTCATCCCCTGACTCTTCCGAGAGCTCTTTCTCATCCTCCAGTTCTTGGAAAGAGGCAGAAACATTTATGTTTCTCCTCTTAATAAATGCTTCAAACCATCTTCCCACAGGTTCAACTTGACAAAGCACAGAAGCTGTAAACAAAAGTATAAGAGAAACTTAGCTTCATTTTCTGGTTTAGAATTTTCTTTCCATCCTGAACCCAGAAGTATTTCACCAAACGTCTAAACAGATACCACAGCCAGGAGACATTTTAATTCACATTTAATAAAACTTGTATCAAAGGTTGTAACAACTTGCAAAATAGTCCACTAGTTTGTTTATGTCAAGTATGTTACTGTATTTTCAAACGCTAAAATGTCATCAAATTAGAAGGACATGCCAAGTTAAATCTTATTTTTAAATAACATTCTTTCCTTTGTCATGAATATGGGGGGAAAGGGGTGGGGTTGCTAGCAGTAAAATACTGAAGTTAAGATTAACTCTTATCATTTATGATGTTAACTCTTTACACATCACTCCCTTGTGACAATGAAATCAAATTGGTTAATTTCACTCTCTGGCCCTCACTGGCATAATAATGCAATATTTGCGTTAAAACCATTAAAGGATAATGTTTAAATACAACAAAACCAAATAAAATAGGGTACTTCATGAGCTAAATGCTCTTCTATTTATATAACATAGCTTTGCAAAACCTGCATTTTAAGCCTCAACTATATAACAGTGACTTTTAAATCCTCTTCTTTCTTTTAGATATTAAATTGCTCAGAATTAAACAGATAAAGGATCTGATCCAGAAAACACTTAAGCATGTGCTTAGTTTTGGATTCCAATGGGATTATTTGCAGGAGTAAAGTTAAATGTGTGTAACTGTTTGCAGGATCATGTCCTAAAGTCAGCAAGCAAACAAAAGCATTCCTCACCCCATAAAAGTTCCTACACTGTTGACCCTATGCAATAGCTATGAGAAATGGAAGGGCTGCTTACTGCACAGCATGCCCAAATTAAACTACCAGTTTAAATACTTGCTTTTGACTATCTTGAAATACTGTATTAGATGTTCTATGTACAGTACTTCACTACTTATTCATTAACTCCCTAAAAATACCAATGGTTTGGCACTGATAGCACATATTTAAGTTTAGCAGCGTCTGGCTTCCTGTTAAAGGAGTGGCCTGGGCAATCATTGCTTAAAATCTAGCAGTCAGTCTAATAGAACTTTGCCAAAAACAGAACCTTTATTTGGAAAACCTATGCAACAACACTTGCTGCAAGTTTGTTAAAGTTGTAAGAACCCTATAAATCACCCTTGCCCCTTAACGATTCTGCAGTCGTTTACATGAAGTCAAAGGCAATAAAGTTAAACACATGCCTAAGTGTCTGCAGGATGGTGGCCGTAGTTGGTAGCATATCGAAAGCTGTAGGAGTCTGTGTATGTTGGAGGAGGGGGCATATGTCTGCCTTGCAGCCAGGGGCATTTGAGTGCTGGATTGTGCTTGGCGCTGTACAGGGACACAGTCCTGTCCCAAGGATTTCTATATTTCTCGGAGGCACGGATGACCTGGCTCGGACAAGCGGAGCTCTGGGCTCTCTGGGCACAGCTGTTGAGCGCGGGGCGTAACCCAAGCAGCAGCGCGGTCACACCCAGAGTCCCTCGGTGAGTTCGCGCAGACCCGGGGGGCGTAGGCAGGGAGCTGCCAGGGGCAGCCGGGGCGGTACTGCACGGTCACTCCCCGGCCCGAGCCCCCTGGCAGCGGGACCCGGCGCTCCGGAGGTGGCGGGAACGCCGAAGATGACGCGGGGCGGGGGGAGGCCGGGCAGCGGCGGGGGCGGAGCCGCGTAGCCCGGGGTGCCCGTGGGGAGCGGGACAGGGAAGGCACCTACCCGCTGACAGGGCTCTGGTGACCGCGGTGACCTGCCCTTCCTCTGCCCCCCTCAGCATCCTGGCGGCCGGGGGGTGCTCCCAGCTGCGCCCGGGCCGGAGGCTCCGAACTCGCTCGCTCCCTCTCGCCAGTTGCCAGGAGCCGGCGCATGGAGAGACACCCGGCAACCACTTCCGGGTCCCCGCGCGTGTCACGCGCTAACCGGCCCCCCGGGACCCGGCCCCGGAGCCGAACAGGCCCGCTTGGCGACGTTCCTGCGCTGCGGCTCGGGCAGCCGCTTCCCCAGCTCAGTCACTGTCCTCCAGCCCCCGGCTGGGCGCTCGCTCTGCGCCCCGCCTCCCCCTGGCAGGTCAGGGCACAGCGCAGAATTAGCAGCCGTGGGGGTCCAGCAGGAGCCATCCTAAATCTGGGGCCTTTGCGGCCTGCGAAGCGCCTTCCTCCTGTGGCGGGTCAAGCCAGCACGTTGTCACAATCTTCCCTCAGTCAGCAGGGTGAGAGAGACCCAGCCTCTCCCCTGACCCCCGGAGCCAGGCCTGACATGATGTTTTAAAATTCTGCATATTTTTGTTAATAAATAAACGTGGAGGCTGCAGCATGGCAGTGGGGAGCACACGCCACTGGCTGCACGGAGGTGTCAGATCACCTTGCAGCTCGCCCACAGCAGCTAAGGCTGCACTTGACACAGCGCAAGGGCCGGGAGTCTGCCCCAGAAACACGCCTGATCCCTGCACCAGGCACAACAAGATAACAAGCAGAGTAGGGTGACCAGATAGCAAGTGTGAAAAATCGGGACAGGGGGTCAGGGGCAGGGTAATAGGCGCCTATATATACAAAAAAGCCCCAAATATTGGGACTGTCCCTATAAAACCGGGACATCTGGTCACCCTAAGCGAGAGGAACGGAGTCTTGCTTGCATGTCGAACCCAGGCCCCCATCCAGGTGTGGTGCAGGCAGGCTCAGCCTGGCAAAATCCAAGTGTGGAAGAGCTTAGTGTAGGGGGATCCAGGTGCGGAATTAGAGGGTTCTGTGTGGGGCAATCTGGGTGCAGACATCTTGGTGGGACAATATTTGGTGTTTTGTTTAAAGACCCAGCTCCTGGAGTCAAGTGATTACAGGAGAATCTCAGCTTTCCCTACCAATCAATCAAATCCAGACGTCCAGAGGCGGAGGTGGCTTGAAAAGGCAAAAGCTCCCTGCACCCAGGGCTCAGAGCAGAAGGCAAAAGAAAAGATCCCAATGTGCATTTTTAAAACGCTCATGGTCTTTAAGCCAAGCTCCAGCCGGGGTCCCTGCGGGGCGCTACGGGAGCTGCACACCAGGGGGCCCGGTGCAGGAATAATGCTGGTGCCTTGTTTGCCTGCCGCCCTGCTTCCCCTGAGATGCCGGTGGCTGGGACCAGGGCACGAGGGCGGCGGGCGGGTGCGATGCTTCGGGCGTGGAGTGGACAAGCAGGCGCAGGCACCCCGCTGGCTGGCACTCGAGGGCGGGGGAAGAAAGCCCTGGGCACCACTCCCTCCCTACCGGAAGCGATGCTGGGGGAACAGAACCCGCTTGCACGAGACCAGCTTCCGTCTTCCGGCTGGTTGCACCGAATACTGCCCCCCGCAGGGCTGCTTTCCGGGGCGTGGCGGAAGCGGCCTGGGCCCCCGGGTCAGGCCGGCCGGAGCGGAAGCTGGGTGAGGTGCTGTGTAATGCATCCGGGGGCGGGGCGGCGCGGCGCCTGCGCAGTGTGTCGGGATCGGGAGGAGCCGCTTGAGGGGATCCGTGTGGCCGCCGGGATGCCGGACTATCTGGGCGCCGATCAGCGCAAAACCAAGGAGGAGGAGAAGGAGGATAAACCCATCCGCGGTGAGGGGCCGGGCGGCTGCGGCTTCCTACCCGCCCCGTCCTCCCCCCACGCCCAGCCCGGGTTGCGGGGCGTCCGGGGCCTGTATCCTGCCCGGGCCCTTCTCCCGCTGCCCTCTGGGCTTCGCTGCGCTGGAGGCACCCGCAGCCGCGCGGGGCCTGGATCTGGCGGGCCGTGCCCGGCCGGCCTCTAGCCCTGCCGAGCGCCCCGGCCCGGCGAGCTGGGCAGGGAGCCGAGCCGCAGAGCGAGCCTGTGGCTTCCTTAGGCTCGTGCAGGCGGCGCCCAGGGCTCTGGGTCCCACTTGACTTCTGTAGGGCCAGGAGCTGCCCAGACTTCCCCACCCTCCCGTGGGCACTCGGGGACGGCTACGCTGCGCCCGGCCCGCGTCAGCGGACTCGGGCTCTCGGGCTTCGGCTCCGGGGCTGAAAAAAAGGCGGCGTGTGAGCCCGAATGACCACCCAGCAATGTTTACAGCCGCAGCTTGAGCCCTGGGAGCCCGAGTCAGCTGAGCTGTGCCAACGCAGCTGTGCTTTTATCCCCGTGTCGGCGTACCCTCAAGGGTGGGATCTTCAAAGGGAGTTGGGCATCACAGTGCCGAGAAAAATCACTGAACTCTGCAAAGCCTGAGTTTGGGTCCGCCTCTCCTTATACAATGAGCAGGGGGAGAGAAATGCAATCCACAAACTCAGCATGCTAGGAGACTGCTGTCCAAGTCAATGGGAGACACTGACCAGAGAGCATATCCTAAACCCCACCACTCTCAAAGATAGGTGCTTAAGTCCAGGCTGGGGGGGAAGTACTTAGCAAAGTGGACCCAGCAATGAGTTAAGGGTCTGCCTCACTCCACAAAACAGGGAGCAGGGGGTTGTGTGCACCCCATAACTTTTAGCCCAATATCACCACTCTCCTGAAAGAAGGGATACCCCTGTTAAAACTTATCCTTCTGGTGGGTGCGCTAACCACTGAGCTACTGGATATTCTCATGTGCGGCTCCATCAGTCTCTCCAGTTGAAGGTGTTCCAATGTGGATAAAGGAGTCATTGGAACAGGGGGCTGAACCCTAGAATTCCCATTTCCTGTGTGGGTGCCCTAATTACTGGACTCTCTCTAACCCAGTGACTATTTAATGATTTATCTACGTATTGATAAGGTGGGCTGCAGCATTATCACCACCTCCTCCAGCCAGATTTTGAGTGGGACCTGATCCAGTGTGTGTACTCGGAGGCTGCTTGGTGGATTGGGTCCCACATGTGAGATAAGGCCAAATGCCTATCATTCCCTGGTTCATGATTTGCTCTGGAGCTTAGGCGCATACAGGATTAGGTGGGAGTTCCTTGGATCACAGTAGAACCAAAACTGGGACTTAGGTGCCTAAGTCTAGGATTTAGGCACCTAAGTACCTTTGTGGATCCCACCCTTAATGGGTCTAGGCCTCCATTCCCTTTCCATAAGACAGGGGTATTGGGAGGATAACTACATTAAAGGTGTCAAGTATCACGGGGTAGCTGTGTTAGTCTGTATCCACAAAAACAACAAGGAGTCCGGTGGCACCTTAAAGACTAACAGATTTATTTGGGCATAAGCTGCCCTGGACTCCTTGTTACATTAAAGATTGTGAAGCACTTGGCGATCTACTGATGGAAAAAGCACTATATGAGTAAACATCAGCCCCCAGTGCTGTTTGCTGTTTGCAATGAGGATCGCTCAGAAATGTGAGCGTCGTGCAGCGAACATGTTTGTGGCTGTGCTCACGCACCAACACCGTCTACCTTGCTGTCAAGCACTTAATAAACTGGGAGGGAATCACGCTTTTTTGGGGACCTCTGTATCTCACCTGCAAAACCTTTGTGTCACGTCCTGCCCTCTAACAATCAAATTATTGGATTGATGTAAAGACTTCTACTCCGTGTTTGTTGGTAACTTCAGCACAAGAGTGTCTTAGATTTTGAAATAGGGTCCTGTTCTTCCCACCTGAAATGTAGTGTTAGGCTGGTAATCAGTATGCTGGTATGCTTCGTGTGCAGGTATGCTTTTAGTTATGTACAGTTGTACAAGTACAGTGGTACAAATATCTATGAGAGGTTAGTATCAGAACAAATGACATCTGGATTTTGGACAATTGTTGAGACTGTCAGGAAGCAGAACTTGATCAGTTTGCTTATTTGTTACTTTCTTTTCTCCAGTCCCTTGTTTATATATAGACTCTTTAGCTCATAAGCTCTTTTGGACAGACTGCTTTCATGTTGGTCATTGAGATGCCTAGCTCAGTGTGGGTGCGTGATAAATAACAATGCAGTACTACTTCATCCCTGCAAGTAGCTGGAGAACTTGCCTAACTCTTGCTTGTCATGGACATCTGGCTTTATTGCATGGTACTCTGGTTTAGTGTTTAAAAAAAACAAAATAACACCAACCCGCTCCCCCCATATTATAGGGGTTCTGTGGGTGTCTGAATTCACATCTTTAGAAACAAAATTAGACATTAGCTAATTCTTGTGTATCTTGTTTCAGCATTGGATGAAGGGGATATTGCCTTGCTGAAAACCTATGTAAGTACCCTACATGACGAGAATGGTAAAGAAAAACATGAAAATCTAATTAACTAACCGAATCAAGGCAAAACAGTATCTTCCAAACTGATCTTATTTGGAAATAACCAGTAAATCTGTTTCCCTGTTCCTCTTTAAAATTTACTCTATCTCTGCAACCTCTCTCCCCTAAAGCATTCTCTCCCCACCCCAAAAACAACAAAACTCCTACAGATTTAAATATTACTGGTCTGTGAAGGAACTATGACCAAATAACTTAAGTTTGCAATTTCTTGTATTTCTGTTTTAAAATATCTGACCATCAATGGCCTGAATTTCATTTACACTTTACACTTCTAGAGAATTTTATGTGCCTTAGTGTAAATGAAATGGGCCTGAATGTGAGAATAAATTAATATAATTTACGTCTATTTTGGCTCCTGTATGTAACAATGGACCATTTGACTCTGTGTTTTAATATCAGTACTGTTTTTCAAGCCAAATACTGACTTAAAAAACTACATATCAAGGTCAAGTTAATCTCTGAGGTTAACAAATAACTATATTGACCATCTCAACAGAAGTTAGTAACTGTCTAGCATACATAAATATATGTACATGGTTTTTCTTAAGTTACTGAAGTGCATACAATTCTTCTGTTCCAGGGCCAGAGCACATACTCAAGGCAGATTAAGCAGGTAGAAGATGATATTCAGCAGCTACTTAAGAAAATTAATGAGCTCACTGGTATGTGCTTTTCTTAAAGTAAAATTTAATGGAAAGATAATCAAAACCAG